CGCATTTATTTTATTTGTGCGCCAGCTGACTATGTCGGTTACATAGTACTTTATGTGTAGAAAATTAATCCTGTGTACATGCTATACCTGATACATACTATTTCATGCTTCGCTCCGTCTGTGAAGTCTTTCGACAATCTGACTTGATATTGCTGCTAGAAAAAAAATGAAGTTGAAGACAATTCACTTTAAAACTCTCTGTAGTATGTGGACTGTTTTCAACAAAGGAATCGCCTGATTCAACAAAGCTCTGAAATCAAACTAAGTAACACACTTAGAGTAATTGAAAATTTGTGGTCTTTGGTGAAAATTCATTATATGCGAGTACAATAGATCTGAGACTAGATTTGAGAGTTGATGCGTCCTTCATGCTCAAGATGGCAGCAATCTAGGATAGTGATAGCAGGAAAATCAATAAACTTTGGCTGCACATAAGGAAAGCTGGGTTGGTGTCGGGCATACTAAACATTTTGTAGCCAACAAACAAAGAAGAGACATCCCAGATAAAAGTTATTATACATCTGTCACCATAACGCCATAAGTTACAGCATGTCATAAGATACTGCACTGGGTATTTTCATCCTACCATATTAGGAAATGTGAATTCCAAATAAGGAACGATTACGTGCTTAAGCGTCCTCTAATAATAAAAAACAAACGTGGCAGCCTCCAGGGTTTGACCGAACCCTACACAAAGTTCATTCAATCTGTTCTAAACTTTTAGTATTTCAGCATTCCCATGATGTATCCTTGGGAGGAAAAGATGTATAATAAGGTTATTATGAGAGTACCCGCTGTGCGTCGGTCGATACTTTTGCTGTACTATCCTTGTGCTTACTTTTCTGTATTCTTGTAATAACCAAAGTTACAATACCATCCAAAAATGGGAAAATAGCAACAACAAAAACAGAGCATCTAAGTCTGACTGAAGGGTTCCAATACCTCTAAATTTGTAATGATTTGGTCAATTTGTATCCATTTAAATGTATTTATTATCTTTACCCTGATTGTATTAATATATAATGTCCAAGAAATTAATGATTTCTAATGATTTATACATTGCTTGGAGATCATACATCATAACGTATTTGTTTATATGTTTTATATGACAGCAGTAGACATTAAGTTAATATACTACTAACTTTATTACAAATTTATTTTTAAAATGTACACAATATTGAAACTTGAGATGAACTTGTATTTTCCTGCCATTGCAATCTTTTTCTAAATCGTCATTTCATAAATAATTGCAAACAAGTTTTGTTTTTTTGTATACAATTTCATTGATAAATTGTTAATTTTGTTTTGAACTGATTTAAAAATGTATGTATTTATATTTGCTATATAAGCCAACTATGTTTTTTTTTATTTGACAATGTCTGCTCACAAACAGTGGTCGTCATTGGACTTCCTGTTAAAATACATTATATTTTTGCGAACAGTAAAATTTGGGGCCTGTTGAACTGGGATGAATCACACGAAAATAGGTTTTTACACTTTACAGATAAAGCAAATTCCTAATTACATATTTAGCTCCGCTGTCGACAAAGTTATAGTATTACTGATTGTCCATTGCCGTCAACGTCGTCAACTTTACATTTTCGACTTCTTCTTAAAAACAACAAACTGTATAACTGTGAAACTTTCTAGGAAGGTACTTTGGATGTGGGTATGTTCAATTGTCTTATTTATAGCGAATATTTTTGTAATTTTTGGTCAAAAATGCTATTTTCGACTTCTTCTTGAAAACCGCTAGCCCAAATGCTTTGATACTTTGATTTCGTGATGATATCTTCATTTCTCTAATTTTGTCATTTTTGGTAAAAAATTATATTTTTGACTTCTTGAAAACTGTTAGTCTGATTGCTTTGATATTGTACCGGTATATGTAGGTGCATCAGGTGGACCTCTTTTAGATTTGTTGATTTTGCGACGACATCTTCAATTCTCTAATTTTGATGAATATTTTTGTCAATTTTGGTAAAAAAAATTATTTTCAACTTTTTGAAAACTGCTTGTCCAATTGCTTTGATATTGTATATGTATATGTAGGTATATCAGGTGGGCCTCTGTCAGATTTATTGATTTTGTGACAATATCTTCAATTCTCTAATTTTGAGAAAACGTCAAAAACGTTATTTTCAACTTCTTCTTGAAAACTACTAATGCGATTGTTTTGTAACTTTATTTGTGGGTACCTTGGGTGAATCTCTGTCAGATTTGGTAATGTCATGACGATATCTTCAAATCTCTAATTTTAGTGAATATTTGTGTCATTTTTCGTCAAAAAACATATTTTGTCCAAATTCTTTGATACTTGTACACATGCAGCTTGGGTAGACCTCTATTAGGTTTGTCCCATTTCGTAAAGATATCTTCAATTCTCTACTTTTTAATAGTGAAATATTCTCTGCAACAAAATCAAGAAAGTTGATATTAAAGCAGCTAGCATTAAGTTTAAATTGCTTCTTAGTCATTGCTTTCAGAGCATGCATCACAAACAGCGGAGCTATATCAGCCGACAAACTGCTAGTTATAATATATTTGATAATTTGTGTTTTGGAATCAAAATTGGAAATTGCGAACAAATTGCAACACTTAATGTAGAAAATGCTTTATACGCTTACAAAAAATAAGATCTTTGTACAAATTATAGATGAATAAAATAGCTGATTACATTTTCGCCTTGCCCATGTCTACGAATGTACGTTACATTACATTATTACAAAAATAAAAACAATTGATTACAACTTACGAAAATACCCCTTGCCGACCCTCTTCAAAGTACCCCAGACTACGACAGGAATGTAAGAAATGACTGAGACTGACTAAAAGTTACAAAGCTGTTAAAAGTGTTACAATTCAGAAAAGATGCGACAAGAGAAAAA